GAAGCAAAGACAAAAACCACCTGATCATCTCAATAGATGCAGAAAAAGCTTTTGATACGATTCAACACCACTTCATAATAAAAGCTCTAAGAAAACTAGGAATAGAAGGAATGTACCTCAACATAACAAAGGCTATTTATGACAAACCTATAGCAAACATCATACTTAATGGAGAAAAACTGAAACCATTTCCCCTAAAATCAAGAATGAGACAAAAGTGCCCACTCTCCCGACTCCTATTCAGCACAGACCTGGAATTCCTAGCCAGAGCAATTAGGCAAGAAGAAGAAATAAAAAGAATATCAATAGATAAATAAACATGCAAAATATCCCTATTTGCAGACAACATGATCCTACACCTCACAGACCCAAAAAACTACCCAAAAACTCTTAGACACCATAAGCAGCTTCAGCAATGTGGTAGGATACAAACAATCATTAGCTTTTCTATACACCAACAATGAACAAGTTGAGAAAGAATATATGAAAACCATTCCATTTACAATAGCCTCAAAAAAATCTAATACCTAGGAGTAATTTTAACAAAGGATGTGAATGACCTCTATAAGGAGAACTACAAACCTCTGAAGAAAGAGACTGAGAAAGATTACAGGAGGTGGAAAGATCTTCTGTGCTCATAGATTGGTAGAATCAACATAGTAAAAATGGCTATACTACCAAAAGCAATCTACATGTGCTACACAATTCCCAACAAAATCCCAATGACATTCATCACAGAGATTTAAAAATCTACCCTAAAGTTCATTTGGAAACACAAGAGACAGCGAATAGCCAAGGCAATACTCAGCAGAAAGAACAATGCTGGAGGTATCATAATACCCGGCTTCAAACTATATTACAAAGCAATACCAATAAAAACAGCATGGTACTGGCTCAAAAACAGATACAAAGATGACTGGAACAGAATAGAGGACCCAGATATTAATCCACACAGCTATGCCCACCTTATTTTTGATAAAGTTGCCAAAAACATACTATGGAAAATAGACAGCCTCTTCAACAAATGTTGCTGGGAAAAGTGGTTACCTGCCTGCAGAAAACTGAAAGTTGAGCCATGTTTATCACCCTGTACTAGTATCAACTCAAAATGGATCAAGAATCTCAATATAAGACCGAAACTCTGCAGCTAGTACAAAAAAGAGCAGGGAACACACTGGAAGGAATAGGTACAGGCAAGGACTTCCTCAATAGAACCCCAGCAGCTCAGCAACTAAGAGAAAGGATAGACAAATGGACTACATGAAATTAAGAAGCTTCTGCACAACAAAAGAAATGGTATCTAAACTGAAGAGACTACCCACAGAGTGGGAGAAAATATTTGCCAGCTATACATCAGACAAAGGACTGATAACCAGAATATACAGGGAGCTCAAAAAACTAAACTCCCCAAAATCAATGAACCAATAAAGACATGGGCAACTGAACTAAACAGAACTTTTGCATAGGAAGAAATCCAAATGGTGAAAAAACACATGAAAAATGCTCACCGTCTCTGGCCATAAAGGAAATGAAAATGAAAACCACACGAAGATTCCACCTTACCCCTGTTAGACTAGCTATCATCAAAAACACCACCACCAACAAATGTTTGTGAGGATGTGGGCAAAAGGGAACCCTCATCCACTGCTGGTGGGAATGTAAGCTAGTACAACCACTTTGGAAAACAGTATGGAGGCTTCCTAAAAAAACTAAACATAGATCTGCCATATGATCCAGCAATCCCAGTTCTAGGGATATACCCAAAGGAACGTGACTCAGGTTATTCTATAGGCATCAGCACACCCATGTTTGTTGCAGCACTATTCACAATAGCCAAGTTATGGAAACAACCAAGATGCCCCACCACTGACGAATGGATTAAGAAAATGTGGTATCTATACACAATGGAATTTTACTTAGCCATGCAGAAGAATGAAATCTTGTCATTCGCAAATAAATGGATGGAACTGGAGAACATCATCTTAAGCGAAGTTAGCCAGGCTCAGAAGGCCAAAAATTGTATGTTCTTCCTCATATGTGGATTTTATATCTAAAACAAATGCAGTAATATTATTGGACATGGGTCACATGCTAAGGGGAGAACACATATAGGAGGAATAGGGAAAGGTAGGAAACCCAAAACTTGAAAGTATTTGATGTGCCCACTGTAGACAAGCTAATACAGTAACCTTAAAATGACAGAGATCACTATGGGAAGCTGACCAGGAAGTAGTGAAGAGGTCTGATAGAAATGAATCAATTCAGGTTGTAATACACATGTGCATGGAAGCAATGCTAGGAATCTTTCTATGTAGCTATCCTTATCTCAAACTAGGAAAAACGCTTTGTCTTTCTTATTATTGCCTATGTCTTCCCTTCAACAAAATTGGAGAAGAGGGCAGAACGGGTTTTTCCTGGAAGTGGGGGAGTGGGGGGAGAGGGAGGGGGTGTGGAGAGAAAGAGGGAGCAGGGAGCAGAGATGACCCAAACAATGTATACACATGTGAATGAATGAATAAATAAACCAAAATAAATAAATACTTCACTCAACTATCTAAAACACTAAAGGAATCTCAAGCAGAAATATAAAACTCAGAAAAAATAAAGAATATTAGATTGACAAATTTGACTATAGTGAACTTCAAAACTTTTTTACAATAAGTAATTTCTTTTTTTTTCTTTTTCTTTTATTATTCATATGTGCATACAAGGCTTGGTTCATTTCTCCCCCCTGCCCCCACCCCCTCCCTTACCACCCACTCCGCCCCCTCCCTCTCCCCCCCACCCGCTCAATACCCAGCAGAAACTATTTTGCCCTTATCTCTAATTTTGTTGTAGAGAGAGTATAAGCAATAATAGGAAGGAACAAGGGTTTTTGCTGGTTGAGATAAGGATAGCTATACAGGGCATTGACTCACATTGATTTCCTGTGCGTGGGTGTTACCTTCTAGGTTAATTCTTTTTGATCTAACCTTTTCTCTAGTTCCTGTTCCCCTTTTCCTATTGGCCTCAGTTGCTTTAAGGTATCTGCTTTAGCTTCTCTGCGTTAAGGGCAACAAATGCTAGCTAGTTTTTTAGGTGTCTTACCTATCCTCACCCCTCCCTTGTGTGCTCTCGCTTTTATCATGTGCTCATAGTCTAATCCCATTGTTGTGTTTGCCCTTGATCTAATGTCCACATATGAGGGAGAACATACGATTTTTGGTCTTTTGGGCCAGGCTAACCTCACTCAGAATGATGTTCTCCAATTCCATCCATTTACCAGCGAATGATAACATTTCGTTTCTTCTTCATGGCTGCATAAAATTCCATTGTGTATAGATACCACAGGTTACTCCAGAGGCACCTGCACACCCACGTTTATTGCGGCACTATTCACAATAGCCAAGTTATGGAAACAGCCAAGATGTCCCACCACTGACAAATGGATTAAGAAAATGTGGTATCTATACACAATAAGTAATTTCAAAATGAGTCAGATTGGAGCATTTACCTTTTGTCTCCATATGAACACATATACTTAAAGCATGTGAATCTTTCTCTGATATAGCTTTGATAGCCAAGCATAATCAGATTATATTCTTGTCTCTCTCTTCCCTGTTCTATGGCTTCACTAGTTCTCCTTTTCTTCTTTCTGTCACTGACTGGTACATTCAGTGGTACATCCGTTCTTGTCTTTTCCTAGAGTACATCAAACAACAAAGGGGTGCCCACACATTGATGGGGCACACAAGTGGAACATCTAACATTTCATAAATAAATATTTCCAAAGATATGACATTTAATCTCTATTTAGAGAAAAATAGTACTTTTCTAGGACAATGGAGTAGAGGAGGATAGCAAAATTTGGAGGAATGGAAATTGCCTATACAGATATCTGTGCACAGTATGGCACAACCAAATATATTCAAATCAGAAAATAACTAGAAGCTGCAAAGTGTAATGAGGAAATTCTATCAGAAAGGTCATTTGACTCAGTTTACAGGGTGCCATTCAGAAGTTATCTGGACAATACAAAGGGTATCTGACTACATTCTATGTTTCAAGAGATAGGCTTTCAAATACGCTGAGAATAGACTGAGTTAAAAACAAACTGGGTATAAAAAAGTCTAGAAAAATGCACCAGTTATAAGCAGCAGCATATTTTAAGCATTTGTAGTATAAGTTTAAACAAGAACTCCAGCAGTTTTGAAAAGAGGACAAGAATGATGACCCCAATGTGGCAAAGTATTATTTTTATTTTTCATAATTTAATACTCCATGCTTTTAATACTCTACTCAAGTTCATTGCTTCATTCAAATATTTATTGTGCATTAGGCACTGTTCCAGGTAGTAGAAAGACAATAGTGAGCAAAATAGGTCAAAAATCATCCTGCTCCCATTGAGTTTATGTTTTGGCATTCACAGAAATACTCCAAAAGGATACCCAAACTGCCAAATTAAGGCAAAGAGCTAGAATAGACTAGCTTGGCTAGGAAGCACACAGGGAACAAAGTCAGGAGTTTTATTAAACAAACAATGTGTTTATATTTAAGAATTCACTTCTCTCTTTTGTTTCCCTAATAAATCTAAGCAGTTGGGTGGAACAAATAGTATTATCATCTCACTTTTTGGATTCTGAAGCAGAATGTTGGAAAATATAAGTAATTTCCCCAAATTACTGAAGGCAGCAGTAAGGACTTAACCATTGAATACTCTGATGTCTGTCCCTTGCTGCCCCATGAGTTATATCTATGCCAAAGAAACACAAAAAGGACTGAATTGGGTGGCTGTGAAGGAATGCAGCTTTATTTGTTGCTTAAAACAATGAACAGTAGGTAGGAGCATGTTAGGAACTACTGCACTTGATGACAATGTTTCTGATACTGACAGAAGGGAACATCCTGTATCTTCCTGTGAACTGTCAGAAATATGTTCAGTTTCAGACATGTGCTATCATTTCTACTACTAAGAACCTAAAACTTAATGATGCACAGGATATTAAATTAGAGATGTTTTTTTAAGTTGATGAGTGAGACTTAGTGTCCTTGGAACCAGAATGCATTCGCCAATATATGTAAAGTCCAACAATCAGCAGACAAATCAGGATAGACCAAAAAAGAATCATAATTAGTGACAAGGAAACTCTTCTTTTTGCAGATGTTGGGCCACTGTCATAACTACCTCCATAGCCTCTGTGCAGGCAGTGTGGTGGGGACCACCCATAGTCACAGTGGCAGTGATGTTTATTATTGCAGATCCCCTTCATATTGCAGGTCTCAGGAAGGCAGGCTTGTGACAGGACAGACTGGCTGACACACTTCTTGTGGATGCAGATCTTTCCTGCTCCACAGGTGGTTCCATCTTTCACTTCACCAATGTCAGATATGTCTGTCCCAAAGTGTTGGTAAAAACTCCAGCAGGTGACACCATTGATGTGAGCGTTCCGCAACACAGAATGATCTTGGAGATGGGGAATAGCTTCCACATTTTCACAGTGAACTCTCCCACAAAAGATATCAGACATATTACATTTTAGGTATACTGTGCCTTTTATACCACAGTGTCCAAACCGGCTTCCCTGGGAGTTGATTTCTTTATAGCAATTCTGAGATGCACTCTTTGCACCTTTGCCAAAAATCTCCCTGCACTGCTGGTCATGGCTATTACATTGCTTTTGATAGCAGTAGGCACTGCCACTACAGGGGCTCCCATCCTGCACATATCTATCATCTGGGCATTGATGGGATGTCCCATTGCACCACTCTGGAAGGTCACATTCATTGACCTGTTGTCTACATAGTTGCCCTGATGGCATAAATTTGCAGTCTTTGCAACAAAGCCCAAAAGCACAAGCAGCCCCCGGCCTCAGAGTGCAGTTCAAGAGACAACAGGGATCTTGTTCACACTGCTGTATAGATCCACAATCACACTCCTCTTCTTTTTCAACAACACCATTCCCACAGCGCTTCAGCAGAAAGATTTCCCCTGGCCTTGGATGATTGTGCAGACAAGATCCTTGGCTTAAGGTGGTCTTCATAAAATCATTATGGCTGCAGTTGGTGAATTTCTCTGCTGGTACTCTGAAGGCACTCATGATGCAACCTCTTTCCCCACAGGAGCAGAATTCCTCGTCATGCTGCATACCCAAAGAGTGACCTAACTCATGGGCCACAGTGTTAGCAAAAAGAGACCATGGGTCCTCTTGGAAATTATCAACTCCACAGTCAATAGGAGGACGACATATTCCTGAAACGTAGGCTAGACCAAGTATACTTATAACTGAGCTTTTTATAAAAATATGGGCAGCATCATGCTGTATCTGAGAAAGACCGATTTGTTTCCACTGAACAAAATTTTGTAAAACCTGGTCTATGCTTGTCATTGGGAAAACATTTCCTTGATTCCAAATCTCAATGCCAATCAAAGTCACATAGGTGTCCAACTGCTTATACATGGAATCCACTATATTAACAACAAGAAATACATCCTCTTGCACCTTTGATGAGTTGCTTTGTGAATAAGTGAAAAATCATGGTCTATCACTACAACCAGCTCCAGAAACCAAGTGTGGGTCCACCAGTCACCAGAGGAGTTTTCTTTCAGAGCTGAGTTCTTAGCCACTTCAAATTCCAATTGTTGGTATGCTATTTCCTTCTCTGTTACACCACATCTTACGTGTGGGAATTCTGTCTCGTTGTCATTTAATCTATAAACCAAGTGTTCGAATGTGGTGGAGTGCCTGATGGGCTCAATTTCATAAATGAGGCCATTTATTTGTAACACTCCCCGAAAACCCCCAAAACAGGTGCTGAAAACAGCCAAAGACTTGGGGGCCCCATCCACATAACCATGATAGTAACAGTCACCAGGGATGAAGGGGTAATCCTCCAGGAGGGCATGCTGCTCTGTGTAGGTGAGCACAGGGAGGTGTGTGGAAAGCAATAGCTTCTTGACCCTTATGTGGACAATGTGCCTCTGGCCCCCAAACAGCAGGCTGTAGGAAAGCCATCCTGGAATCTTTGCACCCCTGGACTTACTGGTCATCTTCAAGGGGATCACCACTTCTGGGGAACTCAAGTATTGGGTGGGCCCAGACTGGGAGAGACTGAAAGAGGGACAGAAAAATCTCAAGCCAGAGCAACACAAGAGTGACTCTCATAGGTGCTCCAGCCTCCACAGCCACCATTATGAAGCTATTTGTCCAGAGCAGAAGAGGACAGAGCATGAGGCACTTCTGGTCTGACTCTTCTCTCTGAGATGTTCAGAGTGCAGGGCTGACCTTTACAGATCTGTTCTGGCAGAGTTGGATTATCAGAGCTGATGTGCTGCAAATGAAAATAAAAAGAAGGGAGGGGCCAGTGGTAGGATTGGGTAAGGTATTCAGGAGAGAAAAATAATGGAGTGGCAAAATATCAATTTATGAATTAAGAAAATGGCTTAGATTTGCTTTGAATAAATGGAGGTGGAGAGTTAGGGGGTTAAATATAAGATCTTGTTGGTCATATATTGATTATGGTTGAAGTTGGAAGGTGGGTACTTACATAATTAATTAAACCTTCTCGGTGGCATGAAAATGTCCATAACAAAAAGCTAAAGCAAAAATAGAAGAGACTCAAGGGTAGGATGGCTCTATATATCAACTTACACAACATAGTATTGGTTTATGCCTGACTTCTTTGCCTAATCATTGATAATGTCCCACTTAACTGTCAACACTGGAGATACCAAAAATAATCACAATTCTTGTGTTAATTTGCATTAGTCTTGTGACTTACATTAGGTTTTCTTTATTTACTGTCTCCTCATTGTATTCCCCTTCATCCATGACTATTAGATTACAAGGCCAACTATAGGATTTATGGCTTTCATTCATTTTAATATCTTCTATAATACCTAGTATAGCTCTGTGTGCCATGAAAAAGCAGAGAGAGGTGATGAAGTACCTTGGATTATAAATGAGTGCTACTTAAAATGTATTTGCTTGATTAATAATTTTGGCACAAAAACCTTCATAAAAATCTGATATCTTCAAAGGATATCCTCTAATGATAATGTTGTTCTCACCAGTTATCAGTAGGAAAATACCAAAGCCAAAAGGAAATATCTCCACGAAGTTCCAGCACCTTCCAGGGGCACCAGCATGGGGACCAAGCCTTTAATCACATCTACCTCTGAAGGACACAATTAGACTATGCTCAGACCATACCAAGGTTAGCACTTGTTAAAAGGGTGTAGAGGTGAGACTTAAAGCAACAGACACTCTTCCTTTGTTTCTGGCTTGAAAGATGCTATTTCCCATGAGTTCTACAGCTGCAAGGCAATGAAACCTGTGATGTGAGTGAGCTTGGAAGGAGGTCTTTTCCTTGGTATAGCATTTGCTGAGAATGCAGTGCAGCTGGCACCTTAAATGTAGCCTTGTGAGACGCTGAGCCAAGAACCTAGCTAAGCCATGCCCAGGCTCCTCACATGGGCAAACTGTGAAAAAATAAATGTGTGGTAACATCCCAAGTCACCACTCATGACAATTTTCACCACTGGAACACCCACCTTGTGCCAGGGATGTCTGTGTTCTACCTATCACCAGCAAGAGAGAAGTCCCTATTTCCAGTTTCTGGGGGCAGTATGCCTTCCTGCATCTGCATTAGACTTTGAAGTAGCTGAAAGCTAACCTTCACTTTTTGAATAAAGTAGAGAAAATATGACTTACAAACAGAGCAGGGGACAACTGGATTTCCTGAGTGGAGAATCAAGTGATAAAATATAGCACTGGAAAAGGAAAACTTCATCGACTCAGGAGCATTCTCCCAAGATATGGGATTTTACACCCTGGTAAAGACCTCAGGACATGGTACAAATTTGTTCCTGGAGTGACTTCAAAAAGTATGAAGTAAGTGAGAGTTACACTGTGAAGTAGGATTGCCAGAACTTGTATGATGGATGATGAAGGGATTAAAAGGCCCTGGTAAATGGGTATACTAAAAACAGATTTATTATATACAACCAAAAGTGTCATTAGATGACAATGTCCCATGGGAATGTCCCAAGAACACATTATTTGCAAATGGCATAAAGAATGTGCTGATGACAAAAGTATCAAAATTACTGAAGATTCAGTAATGACTTTGTAGCCAGAGCTGAGAGTTGGAGAAGATGTTACAGAACTTGGTTCACTAACAGCAACTGTGATGATATGAATCTGACACATAGAGATCAGAAGGCAACACTTAATCATCTCAGAGGGCAAGTAGATCACAATTATAAAGACTGGCAAGGTTAGACCGGTAGCTAACATTTAAGGTCATGGGTAATAAAAGGATTCCAGAATCCTTAGGAACAAAATACATGAGAAGCCAAGAAGGATACTGCTTTATGCCAGTTGAGGAAGTCAGGAGAAATGACAGATGACTGAGAAGCAGAAAGCAACTGTCTCCCAAAAATGTCAATCACTCTCCCTGTGTCTGGACATGAACTTCTTTCAGACCTGGCACCTACTGCCTGCAGAGATAAACAGAGCCCTCAAGAAAAAAGGGCAATGCAAACATAAAACAATGATTTTCCCAGCTCTTCATCAAAGGTGACTAAGGCCACTATCCATACAATTCTGCACAGGAGAGGGAAAAGGATGATTACACACAGGACTGAGATCACAGTGACATCCAAGAACTCAAAGCACTGTGACATCTTCCTGTTAGAGTGAAGGCATTTTAGAGTCCTCATCAGAGTTTGATCCTGGGTGTGTACAGCTTGTGTTAAATCAATAACCACAGTGCGCCTCTTCCTCTCATCAACACAAACCTGTTAGCACGACTCTACTAATACTTCTTATGCTAGTGTATATTATTTTCTTTTTTATTAGCATATATTAAGGGTACAAAAGGAATTTCACTGTGATATTTCCATACTATATATAATGTACTTACATCAAATTCATCCCCTCTATTACTCTTTCTTATTCTACTTTCTTTTTTTTACAATTTTGTAATGGGTTTTAGTGTGTTATTTTCATAAATGCATATAAAGTACTTCAATAATACTCACCAGCCTCATCCCCTCTTGCTGGTTCTCCCTAAATAGTACCTCTTTTACACTCATCATTTTTAGTCTAGATAATGTATAGGAGAGAAAACATGCAATATTCATCTGAGTCTGGATTATTTCGCTTACCAGGATAATCTCCATTTCCCTGCAAATGACATAATTTTTATTCTTTATGGTTGAATAAGAGTCCATTAAGTATATATACCACAAAAAACTCCATTAAGTATATATACCACATTTTCTTCATCCATTCATTGGTTGATGGACATAATGAGCCCATAGTTTTGTTATGGGAATGGTGCTGCTCTAAACAAGGGTATACAGGTATCTCTATTGCACGCTGATTTATATTCTTTAGGATATAGGCCAAGAATGGAATAGGAGGGTGATAAGTAGATCTATTTTTAGTTTCTTGAGGATTCCCTATACTGGTTTCAATAGTAGGTGGACTAATTTACATTGCCACCAACAGTTTATAAGGGTACCTTTTCCTCGACATTGAAGATTACCATTCTGATTGGGGTGAGATGGAATCTCAGTGTCGTTTTGATTTGCATTTCCTTTATGGCTAAGGATGTCGAACAATTCCTCATGTATTTATTGGTCATTTGTACTTCTTTTTTAAACTATCTTTTAATTCATTTGCCCATTTAGTAATTAGATTATTTGTTCTTTTGGTACTTAATTTTTTAGCTCTTTATGTATTCTACATATTAATATTTTGTTCAATGAATAGCTAGCAAGGACTTCTCTTGTTCTGAAGGTTGTACAGAATAACTTAAACTAAAATGGACAGACTGATTTTTGCTATGTCAAGTAAGTCACACTACATTTCTCTTTAGTGACCTGGCTAGAAGTGCACTAGAGGGACACTAAAAGGCAAAAATATACTTCCTGAAAGTATGTTACTGTTACTGCGTGTACCAAAACCTATGGTTTTTTTGCTCTGGTGATGACATTTGGCTGATACCACAGACCAGAGAAAGTTCCACAATCCCCTTCACAGGCACAATAACCACCAGAAGTTTCTCCCTCTTCAGAAGTCTGAGAACTAGTCATACCAGGCCATCCTCAAGTCCCCTAGGCAACAAACACCAGACAATGTCTCTTTCTCAGTTGTACCAGGCCATGCCACAAATATGCCAGTCCCCAAGTGTGTAGTGTCCTCCCTCTGAGACCTGAGTCATAGCTTTTGGAGGCTCTTCTCCTAAGCCCCTTAGGTACCAGCACTACCTCAGCATCACTTTCTAAGAGGGCAATCTACCTGTTGCATAACACTCCTTTTTTTTGAATTCCAAAATGACCAGCATCATCTAAGCAATGCCCTATCCTTCACATGATTCCGGTCCAGAAACATGAGGCTAACTATAAAAGCATCTAGGTTACCATAACCACAACTGTTTTCCCTTACTTGGAAGTGTAACTCCTTCTAGGAAATCCTACCACTGTGTACCTCAGTGTTCTTGTTTTATCTTTTCAGTCCTCTATCATCTTCTCAATTTTTTCCTATGGTAATTTCTTTTGGTGGGTTTCTTTTCAGGACTTGGATATGGATTTTCTTTATAGGAGTGATTCTGAGATATAATGGAAATCTGGAGCTGGTTTGGGCATGTCCATGGCCTTAAACATACTGCTGACCTCCCTTCCAATGAGGCATGGTATCACAGTTAATTAAATCACCATTCAATGCTGATTGTGATGAAATGTCTTAGTGATGCAAGTGTGTAGAGGAACCAAATGACTATTGTGATGACAGATTGTAAATACCTTAAGTACTGAGGGGTCAGATAGAAGGATTGAAATATACTGGATAATTTTTCACAATGAACTCCAAGATACTAAAGTCTAAGACCAGAGAGCATACAATGATGGCCCTAAAAGAATCTCTCTGTTGTTTTAGCCACAACACCAAAGTTCAATGAAATAAAAACATTGTAGGGATTGTACAATGGCAAAGTGAGTGAAATATAAACATTTGTAACACTCTGGCATAAAAGTTGTAATACTAATGGAGAAAGAAAAAAACATTGGGATTTGAAATGGGGAATTCCAAGGGGATGTGGATGATTCTGAGTCTCCTTTAATAGTGAAAGAGCCCAGAGGTCTCCTGTCTGAGATGTCTAGTCACCTATAGCTTAAGATCTTGTAATGACCTCAGATGTGGACCTTATTTTGCAACTTACACAT